CCCCACAACTTCACTGGGTGCTTCTACTTGCCGGAAGTGCCCTGGAGACTGGTCTGTTTGTTGTTTTTCTTTTTTGTTTGTGTGTTTTTGCTTTTTGGGTCACCTCCGGCGATGCACAGGGGTCATTCCTGGTTCTGCACTCAGGAATTACTCCTGGCCATGCTCAGGGGACCATGTGGGATGCTGGGAATCGAACCTGGGTCGAACGGGTGGAAAGCAAACACCCTACCCGCTGTGCTATTGCTCCAGCCCCGAGACCGGTCTGTTTGAAGCGGCATTGCTTTCAGTTGTCTGTCCGCTTCGTAAACAGATACAAAAATACGTAGAGTAAATAATAACGGGGTCCTGGGGATGGTTCCTCAGCAGAGTGCACCCACCGAGCAAGTGGGAGTTTGGGGAGGCTCTGAGTTTGCTTCCTGGGTCCTTCTGCTCCTTGGGGGTCCCTGATGCTGCATGACAAAGCATGTGATTCCCAGGGTTCTGTAATCAGTCTTTGCAAGGAACCCGATTAAAGCATGTGGCTCCTTCCAGCAGGCCACTGATGCCACAAATTTGAGAGCAACCAAGCCTGGGCAACCACAGAAATGCAACAACAACAACAAAAGGAAAAGAGAGAGAGAGAAAGGTGTGTGTGTTTGTGTATGTGTGTGTGTGTGTGTGTGTGTGTGGAGGTGGGGTCAGATAAAAATAATGACAGAAGCTGGAACTGTATATATCCTGAGGGTGCAAAAAAGCACAGTAGAAATGACATCTGCACCTATATGTTCATTGCAGCACTGTTCACAATAGCCAAAATCTGGAAACAACCCAAGTGCCTGAGAACAGACAACTGGGTTAAGGAAACTTTGGTACATCTACACAATGGAATACTATGCAGCTGTTAGAAAAGATGAAGTCATGAAATTTGCTTATGAGTGGATAGACATGGAGAGTATCATGCTAAGGAAAGTGAGTCAGAAAGAGAGGAACAGACATAGAAGGACTGCACTCATTTGTGGAATATAAAATGACATAATACGAGACGGACATCCGAGGTCAGTAGATACAAAGGCCAGGAATATTGCCCCATAGTTGGAAGTCTGTCTCATGGTCTGGGGGAGAAGGCACCTGGAATAGAGAAGGGATCACTAAGTCAATGATGGTTGGCGGGATCGATTGGGATGGGAGATGTGTGCTGAAAGTAGATAAAGGACCAAACGTGATGGCCTCTCAGTGTCTGTATTGCAAACCACAATGCCCCAAAGTAGAGAGAGAATATGGGGGAAATTGTCTGCCATGGAGGCAGGGGTGGGTTGGAAAGGGGGGGGTATGCTGGGGACATTGGTGGTGAAGAATGTGCACTGGTGGAGAGATGGCTGTTCGATCATTGTATGATTGAAACTCAAACAAGAAAGCTTGTAACTGTATCTCACAGTGATTCAATAGTAAAAAAACTTAAAAAAGAAACAAACCCAAACAACTGTGTCCCCTTTGAAAGCGCTAAGGAGGAGGCAAGAAATTTCGAGCAAGAAATCAGTGCAAGAGGAACTTGAACACCCCTGGAACTGACTTGGCACACAGGGAACTACAGAGAATGCAATTTTATTCTCTGAAATGCTTCAATTCTAAACCCGCTGTTTGCCTCAACAGTTAAGTTTTCAAAAAAAAAAAAAAAAGCCAACCATATATCAACAACCCACCACAGGCTCCAAGGCCGACTTCAGGAATAGCTTCCAAGCCCCCCCCCCCCCAGCCACCCCCCAGTTGTGGCCACTCTGAATAGCCACTCGATACTGGCTGCGCCGAGATCAATTATACGCAGGGGGCTAATGCAGGCTCCGAGCGTGCGTCCGGCCGCAGGGCAGGTGCCGAATGCAAAACACACACGGAGAGGCCTTTTAAGCAGCTAAATGCACACCCCATTATGGATCCTAAAGGCTGGGGGGACCGGGGAGAGGGGGGGCAGTGCACGCGTCCGCAAATGGATAGCAAGCCGAGGGTTCTTAAATGGCCTCGGGGCTGAGGGCTGAAAGGCCAGTAGCTGGATGGGCGGCCCTGGGCCCGTGTGGGTTTTAGGATTAATAATACATCGATGCGCGTCAGTGTTAAAACACATTCACAGATCAGGGGCCGGGCGGTGGAGGGGCCGGCCCATCTGCGGACCCGGCTAAGGGCCCGGTAAATGCCTTTCCTCTCTCCCTGGGGTCTTGACTCCTGGGAAATTAGATTATGCTGCTGAAGTTAGGTCCTGAGGTTCTTTGTGTTTTTTTTTTTTTTCCTCTGCTCCTGAAAAGCACTTGATGGTATGGGGCTCCAGGTGGCAACTGTCATCTGCCATCTGGAAACAAAGGGGCGGAGGAAGCAAACCCTTAACCCTAGGGCACCTGAGTCAAACATGGGTGGGCTGAAGATGCACCCCCCACCCCACCCCGGCCTCGTCCCCACCCCTGTGCTGACCTGATGACGTGTCCATGTGCTGTGGGCAGACAGTGGCAAGGGGTTTGGCCAGGAGATGATTTGTGAGTGGCCTCTGACTGGGATTTCCTGGTGGCATCTTGTAGATTTGTAAAGTCTTGCTTGTGCCCACGAGACAAAAGCTGTTTCTGGCTGGGTATTCCTCGGGAAGGGATTTCTCCCAAGTCCAAGACCTCACACTGGGGTATCCTGTCCCCTCAATAGCCCCCTCCCCCACTGTCCTTCATGCTGTTGGTGGCCAGTACTCAGAAGGATGGACACAGCAGATCTTGGGGGGCTCTAACGCACACCTGAAACACCACCTTTGTGTAGGGAGGGGGGTTGGGGGGAAATGGGGGTGACTCGGCTAAGCGTTGACAGAGCAGGGAGCCAAGAGGGAGTGATGACAGTGACAAGTGACAAATGACAAGTGATGGATGACACTGAACTCAAGCAGGGTTTGAATGAAGCACCCATAAAGATCATGAAGATGCCAGAGACAAGCGAGTGTCTCACTAGGACAGAGGGAGAAAAATGGGGGATTGGGCCAAGGGCTCACGCTGTCCTCACAAGGAGTGCTCTAGTTTCCCTGGTGACAGTGATACACATCACTTTTTGATTTTTTTTTTTTTAAATCAGAGATGCAGAAACTAGAGCTCAGGGACTCTGGGTCACAGAGAGACTCGTTGGCAGGGCTCAAAAGGAAGCCAGGAATGCCTGTTGAAATGGCTCTTGCCCTGAACAATCAAGACTGAGAGATGCCCTCTTGGTGCATGGGGAAATCTGACCAGAAGCTCATATAAACCCAGGACCCTTGTATCTACTGTCCTTAGGTGTCAGCCTCATGTTATGTTGTTTTATACTCCACAAATGAGTGCAGTCCTATGTCAGTCTCTCTCTTTCTGACTCATTTCACTTAGAATGTGATACGCTCCATGTCTTTCCATTTATAAGCAAAGTTCATGACTTCATCTCTCCTGACAGCTGCATAGTATTCCACTGTGCAGATGTACCAATGTTTCTTTAACCAGTCATCTGTTCTAGGGCACTTGGGTTGTTTTCAGATTTTGGCTATTGTGAACAGTGCTCCAATGAACATATAGGTACAGATGTCATTTCTACAGATAGATTGCTCCATAGCTGGAAGCTTGCCTCATGAGCAAAGGGGAGAAGGCAGCTGGAATAGAGAGGGGAAAACTTAAGAAAAAGATGGCTGGAGGAATCGGTTGGGATGGGAGATATGTGCAGAAAGTAGATAAAGGACCAAACGTGATAACCTCTCAGGTTCTATATTGCAAACCATATTGCCCAAAAGTATAGAGAGATTATGGGGAATCATGTCTGCCGTGGAGGCAGAGGGGGGACGGGAAAGGGGGGTATACCAGGGATATTGGTGGTGGAGAGTACGTACTGGTGGAGGGATGGCTGTTTGATCATTGTGTGATTGTAACCCAAACGTGAAAACTTATAGCTATCTCACGGTGAGTCAATAAAATTTTAAGAAAAACAAAACAAAACAAACAAACAAACAAAACCCAGGACCCTAAGCAAAGGGAATGGGCTAGGGCAGGAATGAAGAGACAGTGTGGGAACTCTTTTAAGGATGCAGTTGTAAGTTGTGGGTATCTCGACATACATGTGTGTATGCACAAACGCACGTGGGTGCTGTGTCAAATGACTCTGAGAAGTTCTGCTTTGCCCTCTGCTTGCCTCTGATAGAATGAGGTGAAGGTCATTCCAAGGAAACTCGCCAGGTAGGTGGGTGGAACCCCCCACCCTTCCCCGAGCCCCAGCAATCTCCACTCTTGAGAAGAGTCATTATTATTTTTTTCTGATGCTACCTTTTGCCAAAGAATCCCATGCCCTCTGCCCTGGTGGTGGTGTTAAAATGTGTAGATTAAAAAAAAAACTCATCATTGGGCTGGAGTGATAGTACAGAGGGTAGGGCGTTTGCCTTGCACGCGGTTTCGATTCCCAGCATCCCATATGGTCCCCTGAGCACCGCCAGGGGTAATTCCTGAGTGCAGAGCCAGAAGTAACCCCCGAGCATCACCGGGTGTGACCCAAAAATTTTAAAAAATTGAAAAACAAAACAAAACAAAACCTCATCACACCATTCAACACTGATTCCAGCAAGAGAAATAGCACTTTCTAGCTGGAAAGTGTGGCTGGCCAGAAAGAATGAAATTTACTTAATTTTACTTAATGCTTAATCTTCCATTACAGAGAAGTTAATGATCGCAAGACAGGAGTGATGATAATCCCCTTGCGAGCTTTTTTTTTTTTTTTTTCCAGGAAATCCAACCAACTAATTTTTAGCCAATCTTTCTTCGGAGCACACCTCGGTGCCAAGGATAACTGCCCTGCTCCTCCAGGTAGCCCAGCCAACCCTCATTTATCAAAACTCTGCTCTGGCGCCAGGGGATGAATCGTTCATTCGGCCAAGCAGACCTGGGGGGTTTCCAAGATGTGTTCCCGGGAATCGGTTGGGTTCCCCACCCCACCCTGCCCTCTCTGATTAGCCCACTTGTCTGGCTTGGCAGGGCAGTGGTGGTGGTGGCACTTACCCTTGGCGCAGTCGGCTCCAAGGAACCCGGGGAAAACAGTGGCATAGGCCTGACACGCACTCGCCATTGCCGTGGCAATTCCGGGGACAGTCCTGTACGGAATCTGAATGAGAGAAATCGGGTTATTAGAGACACAGCAGCAGCAAGTCCCAGAAGATACTGCAGCGCTGGAGATCTCTCCAGGACACCTCAGATGGAGCCGGTGTGCTCTCCTCAGCTGAAGTCACAGTGATCATGAGCTGCCAGAAGCAAGGTTCAGGGATTCGGGTTCCAGGACTAAGACTACAGGCCACACAATGGCGGGGCAGTGGTGGCAGAGGTGCTGGGCTGTCCTTCCCCAGCTCTCTGCTCATTCGGCATCCTGGCTGTCACTCCAACAATCTGCCTCTGGGCGCCATCTCAGCACTCCAAAGGCCCTGGTCCAGGGACACCCAAGTTGAATCTCAAAATGGATTAGCTCCCTACAGAGGTGTCTCTAGACCCTAATCATTTACAATCTTAGAATTCTAGAAAGGGTGGTGGGGAGGGGGAGAATTCGAGCAAACTATAATGCCAAAAAGTAGAGAGAGAAAGAGTATGGTGCTGGAGTGATAGCACAGCAGGTAGGGTGTTTGCCTTGCATGTGGCGAACCAGGGTTCAATTCCCAGCATCCCATAGGGTCCCCTGAGCACTGCCAGGAGTAATTCCTGAGTGCAGAGCCAGGAATAACCCCTGTGCATCACTGGGTGTGATCCAAAAAGCACTGTCACTGTCCTCCCATTGTTCATCGATTTGCTTGAGTGGGCCCAGTAATGTCTCCATTGTGACACGTTACTGTGTTTGGCATATCGAATACGTCACGGGGAGCTTGCCAGGCTTTGCTGTGCGGGCGAAATACTCTCAGTAGCTTGCCAGGCTCTCTGGGAGGGGCAGAGGAATCTAACCTGGGTTGGCCGACAAAAACAAACAAACAAACAAACAAAAAACAGTAGAGAGAGAGAGTACTGGGGAAATTGTCTGCCATAAAGGCAGGGCGAGGACTGAGATGGGTGGGTGGGGGGATATACTGGGGACATTGGTGGTGGAAAATGTGCACTGGTGGAAGGATGGGTGTTTGATCATTGCATGACTGAAGCTCAAACCTGAAAGCTTCGTAACTGTTAAAAAAAAAAAGAAAAAGAAGAAATTGAGCTATTAAAATCTTTTTTACTCTGCCTGCCGGGGCAGCAATGGAATGATCAGTCATGCCCTATTTGTCCCAAGAGTTGTGGTCAGACCTTCTGGGTGAGCGGGGACCAGATGTGAGTGGTGCTGGAGGACAGTAGGGGGTGGTGGGGAGTAGGGCGTTGGGTGCAGTGAATGGAGGGATCGCTGGTCTCTAGCTAAATTCTAAATTCTAGCTAATTCTCAGCTTGGGCTGTCAGGCTTCTCCTTAACAAACAAAAACAAGCACTGTCCTCCTGTTGTTCATCGACTTGCTCGAGCGGGCCCAGTTACGTCTCCATTGTGAGACTTCTTGTTACTGTGTTTGACATATTGAATAGTCTTGGTAGCTTGCCAGGCTCTCTGAGAGGGGCAGAGGAATCGAACCCAGCTCGGCTAGGCTGGCTGTGCGCAAGGCAAATGCCCTACTGCTGTTCTATCACTGCAGCCAAGAAAGAGTCTCTCCTTAGAAGAAACTGTTTATGGACAGCTCAAACTACAACTCTACCATGTTTGAATCTTATCGAGCAAAGAAGACATACGTTTAGAGCCTGGCAAGCTCCCCGTGACGTATTTGATATGCCGAAAACAGTAACAATAATGGGTCTCATTCCTCTGGCCCTGAAAGAGCCTCTAATATGGTACCGTTGGGAAAGATGAGTAAGGAGAGGCTGCTAAAATCTCAGGGCTGGGGCGAACGGAGATGTTACTGGTGCTCGCTCTAGTAAATCGATGAACACTGGGATGACAGTGATTCAGTGATATATTTTGCATTTTGGGGCCACATCTTAGTGATATTCAGGGGATATTCCCAGCTCTGTACTCAGGAATCATTCCTGGCGGTGCTCAGGGGACCAAATGGGTTGCTGAGGATCGAACCTGGGTTGACTGCATACAAGGCAAACGCCCTCCCCGCTGTGGCTTCCAAATAACTGTTTCCTCATGCCTGCCAAAGAGGCAGGCTGGGGACCGGGGGGATGGCAGGAGGGAAGCTGGGGTCATTGATTGATGGGGGGAAATGGACAGTGATGGAGGGACGGGTGTTGGATCATTGTATGATGGAAACCCAGTCATGAATAGCTTTGTAACTGTGTATCTCACAGTGACTCAATTAAAAACATATTTTTTTTTTAATAAAAGAAGGATAGAGAAGGGACCAGCGTGACAACAATAGTTGGAAATGACCACTCTGGACAGGAACTGAGTGTTGAAAGTAGATTGGCAAAGGGATACACCTGGTGATCTTCCAGTATCTGTATTGTAAATCATAATGTTCAAAAGAGAAGGAGACACAGAGAGAGAGGAGAGAGAGAGAGAGAGAAGGAGGGAAGGAGAGAGGGAGGGAAAGAGAGGGAGGGAGGAAGGGAGGGAGGGAGGGAGGGAGAGAAGGAGGAAGAAAGAGAGAGGGAGGGAGGGAGGAAGGGAGGAAGGGGGAGGGAGAGAGAGAAGGAGGGAGAGAGGGAGGGAGGGAGAGAAGGAAGAAGAAAGAGAGAGGGAGGAAGGGAGGAAGGGAGGGAGGGAGAGAGAGAAGGAGGGAGGGAGGGAGGGAGAGAAGGAGGGAGGGAGAGGAGGAGGAAGAAAGAGGGAGGGAGGAAGGGAGGGAGGGAGGGAGGGAGAGAGAGAAGGAGGGAGGGAGGGAGAGAGAGAAGGAGGGAGGGAGGAAGGGATAGAAGGAGGGAGGGAGAGAGAGAGAAGGAGGAAGAAAGAGAGAGGGAGAGAGGGAGGGAGGGAGGGAGGGAGAGAGAGAAGGAGGGAGAAACAGAGAGAAGGAGGGAGGGAGAGAGAGAAGGAGGGAGGGAGAGAGAGAGGGAGGGATGGAGGCAGAGGGAGAAAAGGAAGGAGGGAGGGAGAGGGAGAGAGGAAGGGAGCAAAGCAGGGAAGGACGGAGAGAGAGGAAGAGAGAGGGAGGGAGGGAGAGAGAGAGAGAAAGAGAGAGATTGCCGTAAAGTAGAAGCAAGGCAGGGGGAACTGGAGACACTGGTAGCGGAAAATGTACACTGGTGAAGGGACACGTGTCAGGACATTATCTGACTGAAACCCAATCATGAAGAACTTTGTAACTGTGTATATCACTGTGATTCGATTAAACATTCAATTAATTTAAAAAAGACTGTTTCTTTACTCCTCCGCCCCTACCCAAGATCCTGCGACCCATCTAAGCTTGGGTCCGACACGTGGCATCAGCTTTTAGTCTCAGGCCTCTAGGGAGATTCTCCACATGACAGTGGCTGCTCCTGATCTCAGGGACGTAGAGTATATAGACACCTTAAATCCTCGCTGGAAGGAATTCTAATAAAAGCAAAACCCCAAAGTGTAAGACTTATCAGGTTAGGCTGGCGTTGCCACTGCCCTAAGTAGCACCTTGAGGGTTAGAGAGACAGGCCCGTTGATGTCTTGCTTTGACAGGTTTTTCTTTTTCCATGAAAATCAATGAGCTGACATTTGTTCTAACCAGTTACAGCCATCGTCTTTCTTAGCTTCTATTTCCATGTGAATCCTCCAGAGGGAATGTTCTGGAACTTTGTAAATGTTGACTCAGGTCCACAGAAATGGGCACAGTCTTTTTCAATCCATTATTAAAAAAAATACCATCCTTTAAAAAAGGAAATAGATCTGGGCTTCCAGGTCCCACATCACTAAGATGATGGAAAGAAAAAGCCCACACACTTCCAAAATGACACTGGGGACACAGGCTGGTGTAGCTACTTGAATTACAGTCAAGTCTAATTGTTTCTGAGCTGGAATGATAGCACAGCGGGTAAGATGCTTGCCTCGCATGCAGCAGACCCCGGTTCGATCCCTGGCATCCCATATGGCCCCCTGAGTGAGCACCATCAGGAATGATCCCTGAGAGCAGAGCCAGGGGTCAGCCCTGAGCACTGTAGGGTGTGGCCCACTCCACACACACACACACACACACATACACACACACACAACATTCTAATGGGGCTGGAGTGATAGCACAGCGGGGAGGGCCTTTGCCTTGCACATGGCCAACCTGGGTTCAATTCCCAGCATCCCATATGGTCTCCAGAGCACCGGCCGGAGTAATTCCTGAGTGCATGAGCCAGGAGTAACACCTGTGCATCCTCGGGTGTGACCCAAAAAGCAAAAAACAAAAAACAAATAGGAAAAAAAACCCCGAACGATTTCTAAAGGGGAAAGTGCTAATCTTAGAGGGAAATATATTTTTACAGGTATGTACACATATGTATGTATTTATATGTATTGTAACACTGTAGCACTGTCTTCCCGTTGTTCACTGATTTGCTCGAGCGGGACCCAGTAACATCTCCATTTTGAGAATTGTTGTTACTGTGTTTGGCATATTGAATACATCATGAATAGATTGCCAGGCTTTGCTGTGCGGGCGAGATACTCTCAGTAGCTTGCCAGGCTCTCCAAGAGGGGCGGAGGAATCGAATCTGGCTCGACCAGGCTGGCTGCGTGCAAGGCAAATGCCCTACCAATGTGCTATCACTCCAGCCTATATATATATGTGTATGTGTGTGTGTGTGTATATATATGTATATATATATATTATATATATTGACAAACCAGCTAGGTGACATGGCTTGTCTTATTGGCTGAGAACTTAATGATATGCAAGAAGTTGGACAAAGTGTTAGAGGTACAGGAGTGAATGAGAAGGGCCTGGGGTTGGTTCTTCCAGAACTTTCACTGCCATGGAGAACACAGGAAAAGTCATGAAAATAAAAAAAAAAACCCCCCACACACAAAAAAAAACCCACCCCAAAACTCAGAGTGTTGCATGAAGTAATATATCAGCTGGTCAATTAACAGAGTATTGACACATGGCTCCTTTCTTGGGGTAAGACTATCCATTGTGATCTTTTAGTGGGCGATTCGTTATTTAAGGAAGG